TGGAGTCACATGCAAACGATGTGGTGATGTTATTGAAGCGATATGCATCAGATGAGCTTCTGGTTCAGGATGCTGCTATTGCCAAAACATGGTTGTACCCATTTATCATGGAAGTTGGGTTAGAGAAGGTTGTGGCAATGTTGAGCAACACCACCCTTCTAACGTTTGTAACATGGGCCGAACCAAACACGAAAGCAAACACCCAATGTCCCCAAACCTGTACATCTGTTGTGCATCATTGCTGCAGGAGCCTGTGCTATGCTGGCCACATCGTTATTTGCGACTCTTGGGACCAATCCCTCAGGCTGCCAGAGATTTGAGGCCAGTCAAACCAAATAAGAAGACAGACTACCTTGCACTGGCGAACCTCATTCTGTCAAGAGCTCCCTCAGAGAGCTCTGCAAGAAGCATTCAGTTTTTGGTTCCTTGACAAAGTAGACCAGTCACTGACAGAAACACAGTGCTCTGATTTGCCTGCTTTCACTTAGAAATCTTAGAAACGCTAATTGCCAGACCCAGGTAAACCTGTGTGATGACAGAGTTACACCACAGGGTGTGCCGAGATTGCAGTGGTTGGAAGAAGTTTCCCAGCTAAATCTTTAGCTCAAACATTGGAGAGTTGGTTTGGGGACCTTGCGCCATTTTGACAGCCTTATCTCAGGATTCGGAACCGCCTGGGATCAACACCAGCATCCCGTCATCTTTGCGCAAGCTCGCACCGGTCATGCATTTCAGAGCGAAGCTCAATTAGATTTGAACTCTTTAGATTCCTAAGGAATGTTGTCAAGAGGGTCCAAGCAGTTTCAGGAGCGAGATTGCGTTTGATTCATTCATTCATTCATGTTAATTTTCCACAAGATCTGTCAAAACAACTTTGGAAACACATGGGTGGGCCCAGTTGTACAAGCTTAAGGCTTGACAACAACTCAAACAAGAGGACATTTGTGCAAAAGAGTTTTGTCGACGTTGAATCACAAAACACTTGTGTTGTGCCCTTTTGTTGGAAGGCTGATGAGTGCACATGGTTGCATGATTGCAGTCTCTGCGTGTGTGTTGCAGCCGTTTGGCGAATGTGCGGAGAGCGTGTGGTCTCAATGTCAAGAACAGCCACTGAAGGCTGGTGCTTTTTGAGTTCGTGTCAAGCAAATTGATACAAATTTGTCGGACCAGAACCATTGTTATACTCACTGCTGAGATGTGTATGTCGCATCTGCCTGGGTGCAAAGGCATTCAAATGCCTGCTCTCAAGAGAGTCGCACGCCGAGTGTTCTATTCAATCTGAGGAGTCCGAACTAGTTTCATGTACAAAGATCAACACAAATTGAGCATCTCACACCAACAACCTGTTCAGTGCAGGCTAGCACTGGCTCACTTACTTGGCCTCAACCATTTCAGCTTTCTTGAACTTCTTGCGTGACCCAAGGCCAGACATGGAGTTGCCGAAAATGCAACACACTCAGTCTTGGGGATTGTCCAAAAAATTGTGGGCTAACTAGATGAGGAGAAATTGGGAAATTGCCACATGATTTCCCTAGCTGTAAATTTGGGGTGCACCCTCACGTGAGATAGAGTCCTGGACCCTGCTACTCCATACTGTTCCCACTCCATGAGAGGACCTTAGTGGACCACTTCCAACGTGTTCAAGCAGCAGCATTCACTCCCGAGGCCAATCCTTCCAGCTCAACTTCAAGCACTGAGGTCGGGCCTGCCTGCTTCGCAAACGCTTTGCATTCATGGGGTGTAGTAGGAGCCCTTGAAAGCTGATTGAAAGTAGGGGCCATTGAAAGCCCATTCAGAATCACTCAAAAACAGGTGAGTATGAGTTTTTTCCTAAGATTCCATGCCTGGCCCAGTGATGTTCAATCTATTTGCAACAACATGTTGACGACGCCCGCGCTTGCAAAGCTCTGCCGTTTGCAGCTGGTGGTGTGCACAAGGACGGCAATGTCATTTCAGCTAGGAATGAAAGCTCGAGATGTCTCAAGGCTCTTGTTTGCCCTGATTGAGCACTTTCTTGTCACAGGTCTTCTCTTTGGCATCGGATTAAATACTCATTCACCGCTGTCCCTGGTGCATCGGAGGAATCCTCTCTCCACAAAGCTGAAAGCTGGTTGCTCAGGTCCAGGAGCTTCACCTTAGACGCCAAGTTGTTGAAACTGGATACTTTGTATACACGGCTGAATGATTTAATACAGTAGGTGTCCCAAGACTCCAAGACTATTTCCGGATATCTCACGGAGTGTTGCTGAACCACAATGCAAGCCTAGAGTCTGTCAAATTACCGTTTGATTTCCTTCAAGTGAGTTTCCTGTGACAAAGAGTTGGGTTGGAAACTATGAAATTCTGTGGTCTTTCTAGTCTTTTTCAAGGCATCCTGACCCTGACCTTCCACAGTGCCTGTCAGTCATGAAACCTGACTTAGGCCTTTTCTCAGAGAATGGTGAAGGCTCAAGGACGTTTCAATTTCTTCTGTATTCTTCTGAATTTCCATTCCACAGCATTTGTCCCACACCGACTTAGTCTTGGTGCCAGGCCCTCTGCATTGATGACCACAATGGTGAGGCCTGCTTCTGCTTCCAAGTCCTGAGGGTACACAGCGAAAGTCATTTGGGCACCCCAAGAGTTGTGCTAGGCGGGATGGACACAGGATGATGACCCATGGTGGGACTCTGCAGATTCCCAGGCCAGCATATATGTTTCCAGCAACTTTGCTTCAGAATGTTCCTTTGTTGCCAAGCTAGACATTTCAATGACCTTGCTGTATTCAAATTCATGCACGCTGAAAACATGAGGTTAACACATTCCCCGCATGTGGCTCCAGGTTCCTGCTGAAAAGCGGTGGCTCTTCGAGGCCCAGTTCTACCTTGAAGCTTAGACCTAATACACTTGAGGAGGTTGTGGATGTGTATGCAAGCCATTGGCCAGTCTGAAGTTTTGGAGGCTGAAAGTAATTTCATCCGGCAGCAGCTGGCCGTGATGGAGAACATAGAGTGTGATCATGGTGAAGAAACGCCATGACCTTCAAAGTGTTTGGTTGTGTTTTGTTTAATTAGCCTGAAAGATGTGCCACAGACCTTGTTTTCGAAGTCTGTGGTTGGCGGCTGATGTCATCAAACGATGTCAATTCACAACTGTTCTGCTGGAAGAGGGGATAAGAAACCAAACTGCTGATTGAATTCAAGATGTTTCGGATTCGGTATGTTGCACTCGCATGATGTCTTGAAAGCTGCATCTCGTTGAACATTCTAGGGCTTACTGCTTCGATCAAAAAGGAACAAGGCTCAAATTTCCACCACATGGAGAAACGTTTTCTGAGCCTTCGGGCGGCAGTTCTTGCAGCTGTGAAAATGCCTCAGAAGATTTCAAGGCCAGGGTAGTAGCACGCTTTCAGTGAGACTCAGTTCAAGATCAGCTAGGAAGAAGGCCTGTGGGACACCGAAGAAGGTGGCGAAGAACCAAGCAGGGTTTCAATCTTAGCAAAACCTCAGCTAGCCAGATGAGCAATGTTTTGGAACAAAAGTACTGTATTACTACTATATGGCGCTAAAGGTTCTAGGTACCTGTGGCTGGCTCTAGAAACAAAACAGGGCTAGCTGACCATTGCTTCTAAGGCCGAAAACAGTGAACATGCCCCGAGCTCAGGATGGACATGAACATGATTGAACATGCACTAAAGAATAGAAGTCTGGAAGTGCTATGCAACATACAAAAAGGCCACAAGCATCGACCGATGGTCTTCCTACTGAAGCTGCACCCACTATCACTAGGCAGTTGACAACTCACGGAGGATCAAGAGTGCAAAGGCCAACCAATCATTGTTTTGATTGTTCTTGGTATTATTTTGGTTTACCAGGCAGTCCTCCCTTCCTGCCTTCCCTTCCCATTTGCTGCTGGCTGGCAGGGCACTGGCTTCTAGTCAAGGCCACCAGTCCAGGCCCTCAGTGAACCAGTGCAGGCTCTATGGACTCGTGGTCCCTTGAAACGATGGCTGTTTGCAGGCTACATTTTCTTAAGCCTGGACCCTCACTAGTTTAAGGGTCAACGCTTTCAAGACCGAAACATGTGCACCAAACAATGGGATTAGCAAAGACCTTAAATTACTAGTCATTCGTCCAACGGCACACTTGGGGTGACTTTTCAACAGCGTGCTCAGGAAAAGAGCGTCAAAGTCAGCCAACACTGGACAATCAAAGTCTGTGTCCCAGCGGGGCTGTTATTTCCATTTATCTTTCAGAGCTGCAACTCCCACATCGTTGGGATTGATAGTTGATGGTATGTAATGGTCGTTGGCTTGAAGGGTGTTCCTGGGTCCAGGGTCAAGACCAAACAGCCAACTTCACGTTCGTCCTCCGAAGCTGTGTTGGTAAACCTGCAAGAATGGATGGCAAGGGTCTCTGTTTCATTGTGCTGCGTTTGGATGCAAAACTTCCCCATCGGCCCAAGAAGCAACACTTCCTTCAGATTCCCTGGTTACAATTGAAAGGTCCTCCCCTCCTTATTCTGGACAGCATATGTTCTAGGATACAAAGTTTGCTTCTCCAAAGGCATCATCACTTCCCTTTACAGGTGAGCGATCACCCTTGTTTCCAGACCTGTTGATTTGTTCGGAATGTGCAGCCCCACGGATCTTTCAAGGACGGTCAGGAAAACGGCTTTTGACAAGAAAAAGCTGGTCCCCCAGAGCTCTTGGACCGGCATGTGCCAGAACAGTCGTCAAACTCTGTGTTTGGCAAGCATTGTCATGATAGGAAAGCTGACATTCCGATGGCCATTGAGTCCGGGTCTCGTTCATTGTGGAAATGCAATGCTGCTTTGTCTTGGATGTTGTTTTCCCAAGGAGCTTCTATCCCAAGACTACTGTGCCGATGGCGACCAAGTTTCACCCAATCCGATTTAGAACGATTGGTGGGACATTCAAATGGGCTCCGATGTTCTTGAACAGAATTGCAAAGTGCCACAGCATTGATTGGATAAAGAAGAGGCTCTCAAAGTGGAACTGGATGCTATCGACTTCATTCTCTGGGGTGGGATGCGCTGAGAGCGTCTACACCCCAGCGCCATACTTTTCAACATCAACAAAATCTAAAACTCAGTCTTTGCAACCAACATGATTCCCGAGGCCGCCATCTCCATCCAAGCAGCTGCACAGCGATTTGCGCCTGGCTGTGGGGTGGTGATCACTTCAGCTTGTGAGATCGACCCAGCGTGCCAGAAGGTTTTACAGGAAACATATGGTGACCAGCAATGCATCTTTCCAGACATCACAAAGATTGACATGAGCAAACAGCGCGGATTTTGCAAGAGGCACAACCGAATGTGTGAACTCCAGCCTGGTAACGACACGACAAGTACTTGGCCCAGCACTTGATGACAAGACACATTCAGTTCTTTTTTGTTGTTCTGTGGATGCTTAAGCAAACCCCACCCACCACATACCCGCCTGCCTTCCAGGCATCCGAGTCAATGTTGCAGGTCTGAACCTGAGGAACCAAAACCGTGGTCGTAATCAGTTTGGGGATATGCCACAAGAATTTCATCGAGGTCCAGTTTGCGTTGACTACTCCCTGATGGGGAGACAGATGAAAGAGCGAGGACCTTCTTACCAATGTCACAAGTCCTACTTCGAAAACATGAAGAAAAGCAAGAACTCGATAGTGATCATTGAGAACGTTTGCGAGTACTCCGAGGGTCTCATCCGTCGAGAACTGGGTGCACACTGGGACCTGGTGAGTGTCAGGATGGACCCAAGAAATCTTGGCTTGCCCTGCTGCAGGTCAAGGCTTTTCGTTATTTGCTGGAAGCCAAAGGAAGTTCGGTGGGCGAGCCCATTTAGATTGGAATGCTTTGTCAGCTACCTACTGGCCCAAGTGGCCATGACTGCCAGCGACTACTTCTACAAAGACCTCCCAAGGGCAAAGCTCACACCCAGTGCAGTACCTTAGTGGTATCAAAGAACCTTGAAACATCATCACACAGTCTTATTATTGT